CCCCCCACCCCAAGACTCCCCCCCCTCACCAGGCAGGGTAGAGCCCTTGAAGGGGGCTCTCCAAAGTCCACCACATCATCCTGATCCAGGCCTAGGCCTTCCCCCATGTGTCCAGGCCAAGAGTGCATTCCTTCATGTGGGATGTGCTCTCAAAGTCCCTTCTTACACCAGGGAAAATACTAATCTACTACCCGGGGTCCCCTGGAGTGCAGAGGCCTCCTCAGTGACATACATGTTCAGGGGTCTGGATCAGTCCTGTACTGGCCTCCCAGACAGCATCTGGGGTCAATGTGCTCCCCCTTGTTCAGGCCAGCTGTTTCTGTGGGTTTCTCCAACATGGTACGGACCCCTTCGATCTTCATCCCTCCCTCTCTTCACCTAAGCTCCAGGACTCTGTTCAGTGTATATCTGTGGATGTCTGTCTCTGCTTCCATCAGCCACTGGATGAGGGCTCTAGGATGGCATAAAAAGTAGTCATCAATCTCATTTTAGGGGAAGGGCGTTTAGGTTATCCTCTCCCCCATTGCCTGGATTGTCAGTTCGTGTCATCCTTGTAGGTCTCTGGAGAACTCCCTAGTGCCAGATCTCTCCTTGGACCTATAATGGTTCTCTTTAATACGGTATCTCTCATCCTGCTCTCTCTCTCCTCTATTCTTCCCCCAACTCAATATTTCTGCTCCTCCATTACCTCTCCTCCATGACTAAAATAAAAAAGACCAATGGCAATCTATGCTGGAGAGGATGTGGAGAAAAAGGAACACTCCTCCATTGCTGGTGGGAGTGCGAACTTGTAAGACCACTCAGGAAATCAGTATGGAGGTTGCTCAGTTAGGATTTCTTAGGTGTAAGAAATAGAAATCAATCTAGCCCAAGAAGCAGAAGAAATAAATAGGTAAAACTGAATAATTCAGGCCCCTGTATACAATCAGAGAGTCACTCTTGAAGTCAGGCGCTGACATATGTCAAGAGAGAAAAACCGAAGGACAATTATAACAGGCTGGAATAATTGATGCCAACTGCTTTTTATCTCATTCTCCACATTTCCTATAAGTTCCAAATTAGAGAAAAAGAAAGCTTGAATTGGTATAGTTAGGGCTATGTGTCTATCCCCTGACTGGAAAAAAATGGGAACATCGTGTTTAACAATTTCATGCCTGTATCCATAGGGAAGGGGCAGCCTTCCCAGTGTGAGTTTGGGGCACAATTTCAAAAGAAAGGGAAATGGATTTTTGGCAGACACAAACAGCAGATGTCCACTGCGTGACTGAAAAACACAGATGACATGAATCGTGCCAATGTACCACAGAGTTGCGATTGCATGCTTGGTGCAAGATCTTTTATTTTTTTTTTCTTTTGAAGTAAAAAGTTCTGTCCAGATGAGTCATTCTGAGAAATCATTAAAGGTGGGACACAAGATAAAATTGGCACACATCTTGATGAGGAAGAGTCTTTTCTTACTTTCTGTGGTTGGAATAATTCTACTGAGACCAGGATATCTATCGTTCTCAAGCTGATCCTACTTGCAGTGGCTAAGAACTCTGTACTGGACAATGGTAACAGCTACCCCTCTAAAGCTGGCAATGTCCATGGCTGATTGTCATGTCTTCTCAAGTCAAGAAGGTACCTTCTTGTGAGTAGTCAGTATTTGGTTCACAGCTAAAGAACGTCCATTCTTCCAAAACAAGATATGAGGAAACATGTCCTCTCTGTCAATGTATATGTTACAACAATTAAATAAAAAATGACCACGAATTTGAAAGGGTACATGGAAGGGTTTGGAAGGAGAAAAGGGAAGGGGGAAATCATATAATTATATTATAATCTCAAAAACAAAGAAAAAAGTACTTAAAAAATAAAAGCAAGGCGGAAAAAAAAAAGCAATAAAATGTCATTTGGCCTGCAGATGAAAGAGTTGCTTTGCTCAAGATCAAGATGTGGTTTCTCCAGGGGTGACCACAAAAGGATGTGTGCCCAACAAAATAACTGTCAGGACAATCAACAGCGAGGGCAGCAATGAGAAAGCTAGAGCAATAAGCATGTTTATGCCTGTGATCCATGTGGACACTGAGAGAAAATTAACTTAGTCTATCCTGTACTGAGGGCTGGAACTGGGGCTCCTGCATTTTAGGCAAGCACTTTCATTTAAGACATGTGAAAACCTGAGGCTCTGCTTGATTTTAGCTATGCATAGTCTCACCCACCCCTTTTTTGTTTCCTGGTGTATGTGTGTGTGTATGTGTGTGTGTGTGTGTTGTATATAAATTTTATGTTTGTAAGCATGTGTGTAAGTTCACATGTTAAGGTTGATGTAATGAATTGTCTTTCTCTCCCACTTAATCAATGAGGCAGTCTCTGTCCATAGCCATCTTGCTCTGGGTCCACTTTGCCTCTGTCTTCTGAGGCTGGACTCACAGGCAGCTAACCATACACCCATTATTATAATGGTTCTGGTGATCTGAACTTGGATTCTTAGGCTTGTGCAAGTGTTAAGCCACTTAGGCATCTCTGAGCCTAGCTCCTCTCTTGTAACAGTGCTCTTGGTAGCTTGGTTCCTTCAGTGGCATATACTGTGCACACAAACCTCTCCCCCAAAGAACTCACCTGTCTACCTGGGCCTTCACCTGCACATAGCTGCTTATTTCTCTGCCCCTAGAAACAATCAAATTTAGACACTTTCTAGTCACGTCTGGTAGGAAGAATGGAAAGGCCCATCTGGCCTCGATTAGGAGTTTGGTTTTTGTACTGAAAGGCAAAACTGTCCTCAAAGGAACTTTTAGGGAGAATGCTCTATTTACCATCCTCTGCCTGAATAATGGACATACATATGATTAAACTCCTGGAAGAGATATCTGAAGCTGAAAAATAAAAGAGAGAAAAAGCTGTATGCCCTAATCTATTGACCAATATAGAGAGCTACACAGACTATGCCCCTTAGCAACGGAACTCTCCCCCTTGAACACAATCAAATGAAGCCTGAACAATAATCAGGTCTTGTGTGTACCTCCACTCATGTATCATGGCAATCAATCTTGGCAGAATTGTCTCTAGTCAGAATTAGACCACAGTTCCTCATAAAGTTATCATGCTGCATTTGCAACTGTGTAAGTCCTTATTTTCAACCCTTGGATAAGCCATGAAGGACCCGCAAGTACTCCAACCACATGTAACACTTTTACCTGCTGAGCAAACTCACCAGCCCGGTACCTTTGTTTCTAAATCTGAATAAAAGTATTTGGGTTTTCAAATATTTTTTTCTACTTTGATTTCTATATTTAGGTTTTTGTTCCTCTATTCTTTTTCTTTGCTTTTTTACTTTCATAGTTTTCAGTAATAATTATAGCAATATAACATTTTATTGGAGGTTAAATTTGCTCACATTTGAAAACTGTTAATGCTGTCTCTTCTTGCTATTCTTATTTCAATGTCATCCAAAATCATAATTGTGACTTGATTGTTGGCTCAGAGTTTGACTTTAAACTTCGAAATAATAACGTTTTTCTAAGTCAATACTTTGTGATTAATAACTAACTAGCTAAGGTACACTGTAGTCAGACCTGACAAACTTTTGATTTGCAAAATATCTTTGTACATGAATTTCCTTCACCGTTCGTCCTTACCTCCCTGGACCACTCCTGCTTCTGTCTGTTTATAGTGACGATTTCATGAACATCTAAGTATATATTGTTCTATTAGGAATAAAAATTGAATCACAAGTCTGTGGATTTAATTATAACTTGTGCAGTTTCTTCTTATTCTCTTTCTTTTCTACATTATCAAAGATGGATAGAGACACATAAACTTCTTGAAGTAGGGGTTTTCTCTATTTGTCTCTTACTTTTGCCACTTTAGCGGGACTGAGGATGTAGGAGAGTAAGGGATGGGCTAGTTTGTAACAAGTGTATGGCTTGTTTTCAGTCAGGTGCAGGAACTTTACAACATGCATTAGGATGTTTCTTGCAGCAAATTCTGCCCAAGTGAACCCAAACTCATGTAAACAATGCAGAGCGTGGATAGCAGGCTTTCCATTCAGTCATAAACTCCAGGAGGGAAAAATCATCACAAAGAAAAGCTTATTTTGGTTCACAGCTTTGAAGGTTTTGGTCCAGGAGTGGTTTCATCAGTTGCCACTGGGCCTATAGTAACACTTCCTCACAGAAGAGTGTGACAGAAAGAGCAACCAATGCCAGGGATATGAGAGAGAGGGACAGAGAGAGAAAGAGAGAGACAGACAGACAGACACACACACACACACACACACACAGAGAGAGAGAGAGAGAGAGAGAGAGAGAGAGAGAGCAGTATCTCACTGTTCTATGCATAGCAGGCCCCTAATAACCTATATCCTGCTACTAGCCAGCTCTTTTTAAAGTTTTCTACATACCAACCTAAGGCCTCAGCTTTAACACATGCTGTTTAGAGGGACATTCCAGATCTGATTGTAGCACAGATGACATGACCTCACATAACTAAGACACAGAAGATAAACAGCTTTTAAGACGCTACAGTGAGGACTCTTTTTTTGGGAGGGGGTATGAATTTCACCTTTAAGCTGGTTTTACTCAGAGCTGAAATATAAATGAGTGAGCTGCAGGTATGACACACACACCAACTGAGAGTTTGTGTCCTACATTCTTGTTAAAAGTTCTGCAGTTTCAGAAATTTTGAGTCAGGTATAGATTAGAAGAAGGACATATGACAGGTAGGATTTTAGTTGGGGGGGGGTGGTAGAGGAGGAAAGGAGTGAGAAGAGAACTGGGATCGTCATGTAATTCAATCTTGCTTGTAATTCAAATATATAAAAATAAAAATAAAAAAGATTGAAAAAAAGTTCTGCAGCTTCAATGTCAGTCCTTTCTTATCTCAAATGCTTATTATGTCTTTACTGCCATTAGCACATTGGTGAACACTCATGCCTTAATTCATTTTATATGCTAGTGTTTCCTAGAATTTCAAAGATTCCTAACAGAAATAAGGAATAAGGATGTTAAAGGATTCTCCAGAGAAAAGAACCAGTGGGCACCCATAACTGCAGAGAAAGAGAGATGTTATGTAGCAATAGCTCATGTTTGTATGGGGGCTGTGAAGTTCTACAATCTATTGTTTGCAAGCTGGAAGCCCAGGAAACTGATGTCATCTCAACCCAAGTGTCTGAGAACCAGAGCATCCAGTGGTGTGATAATATAGCCATTAGAGCTAAAACTGTCCACTTGTTTGACAAATTAATGAGTAGTGATAATAGCTCACCTCTGGTTTATGGTAACAGACAGGAAAAGTGAAGTTTGCATATTTTAAATGATCGAACTGCTGTGTTCATTAACAGCAGCTTTTATCCCAGGATTCTTCTTGTCGTTACCGCCCTATGGTTGACTTGTGCACAGTCTTCTCAGCCAGGCTTCCTCAACTTCCTTGGATTCTTCACTTCACCGTTTTTGAACATGGGTTTCCATGTTGGATTTCAGATGTTCATCAGTGAAATTATTACCGTAACAACTTCTATGACTGGATTTAAAAAAAAAGACAAAAGGTAATTATCACATTAGGTAAGAGGAAAACACCAGACTGACAACAGACTAGTATCATTTGATGACTGTAAAGCAAGCAGCATCAAGCCATAGGGTGGGGAATATACTATGTATTAGCTCTGAGAGTAATGCTTCAATTAAAAATGGAAAAGTTTGCTTTCCAAAATTCCCTCTTACTTTATTCCATTCCATCTGCTAGCTCTAATGACTGGTGCATTCCTGAATCTGTTTTGTTCTGCTTCCAGACAAATGAGAAAGCCATGTCCACAGCTATCAGAGGATTGCTTGCATGTGTAACAAAGTCTAGCTCACAGTTACTTGGTGTTTGAAAGAGTTCCAGATCAGCACTCCTTTCAGTACTTGAAAGTTACACAGGACCCTAGAGACATTTTATTTGTGTCAATATTTACCAAATAAGAAATCAAAACTAAGGATGGTTTAAAATGCACTAGTTCACTTAAAAGTCATGATATTGCCATAAGTATATAAATAGCATGTTATGAAAAGTAACTGTATTTCCAAAAAAAGATAATTCATTAAGAAAAGTGGCACTATTTTACATTTTCCAAATCTCTTTCATGCCTCACCTAATAGATGTAGTTAAATTCTCATATCTGCTTCTACATTTACTATTTTGCTATATCCTATATTTTGTAGATTCTGGGAAGCACTGGATATTTGACAGAACTGAACAAGGCCATTACAGTCTCCATATTATTAAACAAATGATCTCCCCCTTGTAGACTCTCTACAGGTGTCAGGAGGCGTCCCAGGGTTCATTAGATAAAGTTTCTAAAATCACTCCACTGCAACATACGTGATTTTCTCCTGCACATTTTATTTGTCTTTCAGGAAGTGAAATAGATCTTATTCTTAAATTGAACAAACAATGTGAAGAAAATGTGTCATTCAGGGTGAAGAATGGTAACCAGGAGATGTGCCGTATCCGTGAAAATCTTTCATGAACTGGTATGAAGTAAATTACCAATACAGAGGCTTCCTAGAAGCCAGCTGCATCTCCTTTATCTTTAATTCAGTGACACAAAACAGAATGCCAATGACAGGAACATTATCACAGAGATGTCTTCAATCTGTTAGGCTCTAATTTTATTCTTCAAGTAACTAATTTGAATGCTTCAGCCTTTAATAATGACTGGGAGCTAAATACATTAAAACACACTCCTGATGATGCTGAAAGATGTCATCTTGCATAATACCAAGACAGGAACTCACCAGTATCTTTCAGGAAGTTGGAGATGCGGTAAATAGTATTTAATTCAATGATTGTCTGTACCTACAATTACTGATAAAGAATAAGCTCCCCTTTTTCTTTTATGTATGTATGTATACCTACTCATAGGCATGTTTTCTCACATTCATTCATTCATTGATTCATTCATTCATTCATCCTTTAGGCATTTTTTGGGGGAACCTGTATAAATAATGGCAGACATTATTCCTGGCAATTGGCATATGTATTGGTTATTTCTCCTGTTGATGGGACAACATTTCCTAATAAAAGCGACTTGAGGAAAAAGGGGGTTGTTGGCTCACAGGGCTAGTTTAGGGTCCATCAGGCAGGGAAGTCAGGGCAGCTGGAGCTAGTCACATTGTACCCACAGTCAAGAGACAGAAAGGGTGAATGCTGATGCTTGGCTCTCTTTTTATTCAGACCAAGGCAAGCACCAGCTCATGAAATGGTACCACCCACATTTAGGGCAGATCTTCCCACTTTAATTGTTTCCAGAATGACTCAAAGTCCCAGCAAGTTGATAAGATTAACCAACATATCCTACAAATAGAACACAGATTCTTGCCCTTGTAAGTTCTATGCTGTGGTTCAGAGAAGAACTTAATAAGAATGGGTAAGTTAAAAAACATACTTATACTGACTGCAGTGTGTGATGAATGGTTGCCCCTGGCCATTAGGCACATAGTAGGCACTGCTATGTTTAGTGAATGAAATAGTTACATGTGAGACAGCCAAGTTTCTCTCTATAGCTGCTACATTTTGTTTGTTGTTTTAATGACCCCATTTTTAGTTTTATTGCATACTGAGGATAATCTCAAGAAGAAGTGACTCAAGAAAGAACCAAGTCCAGGATTTGGCTGTTGGGGTCTTTATTCACCTACTTTCCTAGGTGATTTGTTCTAGAGCAGCACCCCCCAAATAATGGTGCATTACATCCGCTACATTAGTTGTTCACATATTGCTGTAAGTATGAAAGAGAAAATGGAAAGAAATGTTAGTAAATAAATTATATGGTGACTTCAAAGGAGGAGGAAGGGAGAGGATATTTTAGCAGCAAGGGCAAGAGCAAGCCATTATGAGAACTAGCACTCAAAGTGTGGGAGGGGGGTGGAGCAGCCAGCAAAAAATGTGGCTGCGAATTTGTGTAGGGTATTGTGGGATCAGGAAGCTGATTGAGAGGTCTGGGAGTTAAGAAAGGAGGGGTGGGCACACAAAAGAAGAGTTTATTTATTTATTTATTTTATTTTTCTTTGTGTTGGGAAGCCAAGGGGGGTTGCGAACAGAAGAGTGGTGTGACCTCACATCTTTTCAATAGGTTTGATTTAGAGATAATGTGATTAAAGTGAGCATAATAAGCAATAGGATCCTGGGTGTAACTTGAAGATGAAAAGTGCCGTTGAATAGTCTTCCTGCACACTGTAAAGATCTGTCACTCGAATTGGTTTAATAAATGCTGATTGGCCAGTAGCCAGGCAAGAAATATAGACTGAGCAGCCAAACTAAGGGTGATAGGAAGAAGGGCAGAGTCAGGAGTTGCCAGCCAGATGTAGAGGGAGCAGGAGATAAACGCGCCTTGCTAGCAAAGGTACTGCCACATGACTGAGCATAATATGGGTTAACTCAAAATATAAGAGTTAGCTAGTAACAAGCCTGAGCTATTGGCCGGCATTTATAACTTATATTCGGCCTCTGAGTGGTTATTTGGGAACTGGCAGGCAGGAGATAAACATCCACTTACAGGAAAGAGCCAACAATTTATTTGCAAGGAAAGATAAAGACACTAAAGATGGGTTGGGATACAGATACATAGAAGCATCTATTGAAATGACAATGATTTTGGGCATGGGAGAAGAGCTTAACCTGGAAGAGTATTTTAGTTAGGTTTCTGATGCTTCATTTCTGTCTCATGTGTTTCAGTAGGCCAATAGAATAGAATTTATACGTAACATGAAAAATAAAAGACCCAGAGACTGATATTGGGGTTCAAGCTGAATATGAGAAAAGCAGCTGGCCACTAGCTCTTACCTCTAACTCAGGCTGAAAGGGCTGATCCACACAGGGCACTTCACCAAGTCTCAAACTGCTACCTCTCCTTAGTGTGGCTGGAGAACAAATGCTCTCTGAGACCTTACTTCTGTTTTGTATACTTCCCTAATGTTGTATACTTTCCCTAATAAAGGTATGAGCTATAATTCTCTTTTAGATTCACTCTTTTGTAGATCTGTGTGGCCTTGGACTCATAGAGATCCGTCTACCTCTTAATCTTGAGTCCTAGGATTAAAGGTGTGAACCACCACCTCCTAGCTTCTGGCTTCCCGGGATTAAATGTGTGTGCCTGGCTTCTATGACTTGTGGCTGACTTTGCTTTCGGAATCTTCAGGCAAGCTTTAATAATCATAAATAACATATCACTACACTCCTACCACTTATATAATTCATGCCTCATATGCACCCAGGGAGACTGAAGGACAGCAAAAAAGGCCTTTTCCTAATAGATGTAGGGGCCAGGTGACATATTTATGTTCTGATTCTAGCTCTCCCAAACAAGAAGAGTTTCTTTGTGGAAGTCATTTCCTAATCCAGAAAATGAATTGGAGCATGGAGTCTCTACCTGAATTCAAATCCTAGCTATGTGCCAGTTCTGTAAAATGGCAACAGCAAAAGGATCTACATCAGATGATTGAGGGATTGGATGACTATAAAGCATGCAACCTAGAATAATGGGTAGTACTGCTATTGCTTCTTCAAGCCTGAATCTCGAAGTAAACATCATTAACATTGCTATTCCTTTGCTATTCCTATATGCATGGATTGCAATACCATAGGGATTAAAAATAAAAGTACACGACAAGGAACTAAGTTTAAAGTTAGATGACATGTCTCCCAATATCTGTACATTAAAGTTATAAAAAATATAGTATTACTGAAGGGACCTGCTCCCCATTTCGGCAGCCATAACAGCCGAACACGTACGTGCCTGACCTTGTCTTAGTCACTAGGAGGTCAGATGTCTGCCCCTTTCGGCAGCCATGACAGTAACAAGCGCTTGCCCTGACCTTGCCTTGGTCACTAGGAGGTCAGATGCCTGCCTCATGGCAAGGAACCAATCAGAAGTTAGCTGGTGGCACTATGCTTTACAGCTCTGGGTGTACTTTACCGACAAGTGCACTGCAATGACACACAGAGCATAGCAACCACCCTGGGAGGGCCTATGGGCCACAACCACTGAAAGGTTCAGGTATTATGCTGGCCTGCCCCTGTTACCTGGTGGAACAGGCAGTACCCTGGTCAGCCCAAGGTTCCATGGGAACTAAGTCTGCACGCAGGTGCAGAGGACCCTTTTAAAAGACAAGTCCCTGCCCCTTTATGCTCTCTGTTCCCACTCTCTGTTTCCCCGCTCTGTTTCCTCTCAGCTTCCTTTCTACTCTCTCTCTCACCTGTGTGCTCTCTCTATGGCGACCGGCCATGGTGGGCAGCCATTTACCCCTGTTCCTCTTCTTAGTCTCCCCATTCTGCCGGGCCTTATAATAAACTTATAGTCTTATGTCTCATGTCTCAGCATTTCTCTTTTCTTCTTTTTAAACAAAGTAATAACAACCACCAGTTGACCAATCAACACAGGGCAAGTCCTCCAAGCCTGGAGGCACACCAATCCTGAGCCTGTGCATACCCCTAGACACTCCCCTTACACTGCCCATAAGATCTCTATGCAGTGGCTTCGAAGCATCTTTCCTAACCATGCGACATGGTGGATGGATGAAAGCCCCGAGCTAACATGGGGTTAGCTCGCTAAACAACTGCAATGAAGCCTCTTGTATGTTGCATCAACTGGACTGGACATTGAGTTCTTGCAGGACTGGCCAGATGGGGGAGACTCCTCATTTCGAGGGTCTTTCACTACTTAGAAGAAAACTTATTGAACTAACTCACACCAAGAGACGTTCAGAGGAGTGTGTGTGTGTGTGTGTGTGTGTGTGTGTGTGTGTGAGAGAGAGAGAGAGAGAGAGAGAGAGAGAGAGAGAGAGAGAGAGGGCGCATGCGCACGCGCTTCCCTAAAGAAGCACACGTATATGGAAGATGCTGTGAACTGATTGGCTGACTAAACTTTGTAATAGTGGTATAGGAAAATGCTGCAAACAAGAGCCAAATATTTGTTCCGCCCCCACATAGTCGCCATTTACTCTTAATCCCTGTATCATCTGAATTAACATCTTTCTGACTGGAATACAACGTTGAAACCTAGCTGGCCAGTAGCTTCCTTTTTTATTCCCCGTACCCAGTGTGGTACTGGGGATTGGATCCAGATGCTCAAGCATGATAGGCAAACACCCTACCACTAGATACCTAGTTCGTTTTCAATTATAAAACCAACGTTATAGCACCGAAACCTAAACAATATGCTCTGTCACAGTCGCCCAGCTACCCGATGGACTACCCCTACCAAAATATTTGATAATACATTGACGTATAATCTTCCCTTTTTGTGGCTATACAAAGTTCATGTAATAATATTTCCTAGAACAACAGACTGAGTAGCCCGAATCCATGCTCGGGATTCAGTTACTCATGGCTGTCTCCACATGAATTCTTCCTCCTTTCCCTTAAGAGCAGAGGCTGTGCTTTGTAGCTATCATATAAGCACCCGAAACATTTACAGTCCTGGCATTGAGACAGTTAATAAACCTCAAAATGCAACATTGTTGCAAGCACAATGCAACAGTTACAGGAGGCGGAAATACTTTCAAAGGTGACGAGGCCCCGCTAATCCACCTAGTTTAACTACAACTTGAGAAAACTCACTCAGCTCTGTAAAAGACCATGTGTGGGTAAAAACGAACGACTAGATTTTGATGTTTAAAACTGTATGCTTGCCATCAAATGAATCGGCAAAACTTACTCTAGATTCTTAAGTCGATTGATTTCCTCTTCTAGCTTCCTAGGCTGTTAGGGTACAAAAGACTTGTTGAGACCCCCAACACGTCCCCTCCCCCATTAAATTTCCTAGCCATTTGTGAGTGAATAAACTGGAGCATTCCAGGGGACCATCCAGTCCACGCCGAGTCTTTGCAGATGTCTTCTTGATAAGGAACAAGCAGTTAAGGACACTTCAATTGGAAACTTAGGGCTTGGCCCAAGGGCTTCTTGGGGTCAGAAGGCTGGATTTCAGGAGAGCTCCTCTTCCTGGTCCCGGATGTCTAGCTCCCTCGCTCAGTGCTCTCTGGTGGCACCCCACAGTGTCAGAGCCAGGTGGTGATAAGGTGCACAAAGAGCATGGGAGGGATCTGGGCCAGAGAGGGGCCCCGCCGCGGGGAAGGGCAAGAGAGG